CCAGATTATAAACTCTGCTGCAAATGCAATGTTATTCAGTCTTTTCTGTTTGATTCCCTTGGATTCTTATTCTAGGGTTTAAAGGCACGTATGTAGGAATTATTTGCAATAACCCGGAAATGTCTACCGATTCACTGAGCAAATCTTAGTGAAGATAGGACTGGTACCAAATACCTTGTGAAATAAGCATTGCAGGGGGTTTAAGAAATATGCCCACGGGCACGTTAAAAAAAAAAAATATGTGCGTTAGCAACAGAATCCAGTTACGAGACCCCAAAAATTGTGCATATATTTTCACTGTTTTCAAATTGTATAGATCTATCCACTGAGTTAAAGGGAAAATACGACATTTGCAAGCATCAAAAAAATAAAACTACCAAATTATTTTGAAATACCTCACTGGACTGTTAGTGAATGACGGTCTAAAGCATCCTGTAAAATCATGGCACCTGATATAGGCCTACTGTCACTTTCAAGAAAAGTGGTACTTTCGTATCAATTTCCAACACTGGTCGGCCGACCAGTGTTGGAAAAAACTGACTGTTTTCAAATACTGGCCCCCATTGACCATATTTAGTTAGTTCGCATTTGTTTACCATCGATTACACACCTATGAACGGGTACAAGCCCGCTAGACTGGTTCCCTTACCTAACAATTCCCCAACGTCTATAAAATGCTCCGTTTCATCTTAAATGGAGTCAGGAAACCAGACTACAGGGAAATGATTGTTTTTCTTGGTTTTATAGCATTTATGAACCAAAAACATCAAAAAAGTCAGCGTAAAAATATTTGCTATATATTACCAACCCCCCCCCCCAATCCATCAATTTCTCAAAATTACAGCAAAAGCAAATGATGTATCCCCTTTAAAACAAAGTTTGTTGTAATTCACCATTCTCACATTTTTAGCAATTTTGGACACAGAGCTTCAAACAGGAACAAAAATGTACAAAACTCAAATTTACCCAAAAGTCCCTACAGTATGTGTGTGCACTTTTGAGGATTCCTTTGTTTCAAACTAAATTATACTTTTTTTATAGACAAATCTACAAACATATAGGCCTACCGTTTACCCATTTCATCTTTCTGAAATGTACATTAAAAAGATATTTGTTCTTTCGTAAAGAATTCAGTACTTTTTTAAAACAAAAATATAGTATATTGACCTGCACATCATGTACAGGTACATCTAGGATTACGTTGTGGACTTCAGATGTGAGGGCACACTGCCACTGAGCTAAACGGACGCAATCACATGTACATGTACATGTATGTACCTTGTGACTATCGGTAGTACAATTTATTTTTGGCATACATGTAGGTCAGTGAATGTGGAAAAACACAAAGAAAATGTTGATGTTTGTTATGAATGCGTAATTGCGTATGTGATTGTCATAAATTATTTCTGCAAGCTGCGCATAACAGCAAAGAATAAACAAGATACCGGTATTAATATTTGAAAGAAATTAATGAAAATTATTTAATAACCTATCATGGTACATTGTTAAGCATCTTTCTGGAAGTGTTTTGACAATACTGGACTTGCCATTTCTATTTAAGAGTAAATATATTTGCAGTTACCATATTAAACACACATGAACACGTAGGCCAGATATGCATGCATATCACTCCAGGGCCTTCCTCCGCTGTGCGTACATGTACATGTATGGCTATCTACAGGGACACTCACTAAGAGGACGGAAATTAGAAACGTGAAACCAGACAGCGTGTGTGCCAAGGTGTAATGCACGACGCTCGGGCTGGTGCCCTACACTAGCGCCCTCGAGGTCAGTATGAGAGAGAAAAAAATCGGGGAGATTGAGGCACAAACCATCCATCATGGCAGGTTCTGTGCAGTCATGATTCATTAATATTGGTCACTGCAGAAAACATAAAAAGCAGAGCGGGGGGGGGGGGGGGGGGGAGGGAATTGATTGGACCATTGCCAATGTGGACATCCTTTAAATAATAAAACACCAAATGGATTGAGAAAAATAGAACAAGAATGTTCTGATCACATACATGAATAAAACCTCAGTCCCCTTTCATCAATTTCAGATAAAAAAAAAAAAAAACATGAATTTTAATAACCTGTTTTTAAAGGGAATGTGCGTCATTGGCTTTTGCTGTAATTTTCAGAAATGAACTATTTGAGGGGTCAGTATAATAGATCAAATATTGTTACACTGACATGTTTGAAGTTGTATGTTCGAAAATGCTGGAAAAACCAAGAAAACAAAAATGTTCAAGTAGTCTGGTTCCTTGACTCCACTGAAGATAAAATGGATCAATTTATAGATGCCTGAAAATTGTAAGGTAAGGGAACAAGTCTAGCTTGCCTGCACCCGTTCATGAACATGTTACCAATAGCAAACAAAATTTGGACTGAAAAATAGGATAAAGTTGGTGGAAATGTATACAAATATACCATTTTCTTGAAAATGACTTCACACCAGGTGCCATAACTTTACAGGATGCTTTAGACTGTCATTTACATGTACCAACATCCTAGCAAGGTATTTCGTAACAACTTGGTAGTTTTATTTTTCGATGTTTGCAAATGTTGTATTTTCCCTTTAACATCATGTAGGGATTCTGTGTGTTATACATGTACACTTATGTACATGTAATACATTGGTCAGTTTAGCCTGGCATTGTGTGAAATGAATCATCTTTGCAACAGATAAAAAATGATTCAATATTTTTGTTTATCTGAATATTAAATTGGTTCTTGGCACAAACCATCTAATCCGTAGTGGAAAGTTGCTGGTGACAATTATCAGGTACGGCGCAGTATTGTTTTGAATGAATACATGTAGTTGTCCGGCAACAGTGAAAAATAAATGCTGGCATATAACAGGAGAGGGGAGGTGGGGTGGGGCTGGGGGGGGGGGGGATACAACAAGGCTGGGGACATCTTGATACATGTACCATTTACATGTACATGTATGTATACATGTATGACCATTCAATGGATGTACGTATGTCAAATTGGTGTTAACTCAATTGAAAACAAATTTCTGGGAAAGCCACCGCAAGATTTCCAAACTGTAATCGTGAAAAGGGTTGGAAGCAAAATGTCATTCTTTTCACTGGTGTACTTAAAGCTATAGTCCATCATTTGCAGCCATTCGAAAAAGTAACTGGCGTATTATTGTTGAAAAACATACTTGGTTGAAAGATAGTAAGTGGACTAAACTCCCTGAGAAATTAATCTTTCTGGCAAGCTATCATTTTGAAGTAATCAACGAAAGAAGGCCTTTCCAACGGTGTGTCTTTTTAAGACGCACCGTAGGAAAATTTAAATTAGTAGTTCGTTTTGTTATTCGGCGCAGCGCGCACAAGCATTGGCACAACGCACAGGCGCGGTTGCTATAATACGTCGGATCAGTGCGCGACATCGCGTATGGCTGCAATTCAAAACAATTCAAAACATGATTCAGCAACTTTTGATTTGAAATTGAGATCCTAGAATGCTGTTTTTCTCGGAATATACAGCTGAAGCTGAGCTGAAACTTCATCAGGTTAGTTGTTCAGTATCCTTCATTAGATTTTGAACACTTTTGTTGCTTCAAACGAACAAAATGCACAAATTACAAATGATGGACTATATCTTTAAAGCACTCCATTGGGAACAAATCTACCATGTCTACAGGCATCCATTGTTCAGTTGCCTTTTTACAAAGAGGGTCATTCCATCCTAGTTGTGCATGTGACGGAAACCCATCACACTCCATTGATCACTGGCCAAAGGTATGATACAAATGTGTTAAATACAACGGCATTGCAATGTCACTCGCATACATACATGTACAAAACAGTATCATATTGCTATCAAGACAATGGCCAGTAAATCTTGAGATTCGCGCACGCTACAAATTATACTATTCCAAAAATTTTGTTCTGTGAAAATCTAGAAAGATCTTAAGCTTGCAAAAAAAGACTAGAGCCTTGCAATTGTTCTTACAACCCTAACCCTCCTCAGCCCTCCAAAATCCTCCAGGCAGATTTGGGGGGATTTTGGATAGAGGCTGAATGGCAAAATAGTGTCAGTTGATTTTTGAGGACGCATTGTGTGGAGTTCGTAGGCTGTACCCTGCATTGTTTATGTTCAGCCATGCATAATTGAGCCTTGCATTATGCTCCACATCATCTGCACTGCTTCTGAATGTCATCGCCACTGCCTCAACGAATTACAGTCATTGGTGGATTGCAGTGGATTGAGGCAATGGTCACCCCTCCACTGAACAGATTCAAGAAATAACAGATGATTTTGGAGGATCCAATTTTTACAAGGTGGCAACTGGAGGAGGATTTTGCAAGATTGAGGATGGTTCCCAGCCAAAAGGGCCTAGGAGGCTAGGGTTGACCCTCACCTCCCAACTCCATCAAAATCCATCCCCCCATTTGGTGGATTTTGGTGGACTTGGTCCTGCAGGCCTGGTATGACTTAATATTGATGGAGTATGATGGACATGGGCCCGGAGGCCTAAAGCAAAGCATGCATTGGAAGCAATGTGATTGATGGATTTTGGCGGACTTGGTCCAGTACTTGAAAAAACAGTAGAGAATTAGAGTTAAAATTTGGTGAAGCTTTCAATGCTCCTCCAAAAAAAAAAAAAAGTTCTGCTTCCAGTTTCCCTACCTACCCTATTCTGAGAATCCCTACCCTAATTTTTTTTATGGAAAAAATGAGAAAAAAAACCCACCCAAAACCATCAATTGCTACCTTTTACCCTTGACTACACGCAGACGCCTCCATATGATCGTACACACACAAAAATTGGCCAAAAAAAAAAAATTCCCTACCTACCTACCCTATTTTCGAACGCCATGTAATCCGAAGCAGAACTTTTTTTTTTTGGGCCTTATCAAAATCTGTTTGCACAATGAAAACTAAAACACAGCCAAAAAACCCCAAAGTATCATTTTCTTTAACAGGTTTTTTCCTTCACGCTTCATGAAAGGGACCTTTTCTTGAAGTAGAGGAGAAACTTACATGTACACTGATGGTTTCGCATGGTGGGGGGATTGGCGAGGCTTTCCGTCGTAGGCTGTAGGGCCGACTACTCCTATCCTGTGGGCTCCCACTTGTTTTTGTTCTTGATGTTGTGGGTTGTTGAGCTGAATAATAATAAAAAAAGAGAATTAATCTTAAACTGTCATTTTGGGGTAATACATCGATAACCCATTTTGCTTAACAAATTGTATCAAACACACTGGCAAATTTCAGCCATGTATAATATACCTGTAGTTGATATTTCTAAAATTTACATTTAAAATATGTAGGAAACATTTAGCATATGCATAATGCATTGATAATGTATACAAGTGTAGTTTTTTTTAATGCATCAACATGAATTACCTTACAGTTTCGATCATACAGTACGCTCTCTGTTTATTACTTCAACTTTAATAACACTAACAGTCTAATAACACCTTTATAACAAGGTCCTTGGGGCCTTACGAATTACCTTGTTATAACAGGTATCTTGTATTAGCAGTAATGAAAACAAAGGAAAACAAAGAAAAACAAAGACTTGGGACCTACAATTTTGCTTGTTTTAAGCAGGGTTTTGTATCATGGAGCTATAATAGCTCCATGGTTGTATTAAGTGCTCTTCTTATCAGGGTTCAACTGTAACCCTACGGTACATCCCTAGGGTGATTTACTAGGAACCTTCCTCATCCTTGCAAATCTCAACACCATGGTAAACTGTGCACATAAACATTTGGACTCTGTTAATCTGTGGTAAACCTTATCCCACATAAAGCACAGTCAGTTTACTAGTGCAGCACTCATCCTAACAGATTCCAACAAACCCTGGTGTTGGAGTTTGGCTGGTTGGTGATCGTTAGGGTTAATATACAGGGCCCAATTTCATGGCGCTGCTACAATGTAAGCACAAAAATTTGCTTAGCACAAAAAAAGTCTGGCTTATAAAAGCAGGTTACCAGCCAAAACTCCACGTGATGTATGTTGCTCGTAATTAGTATTCAGCTGTTGTTTGCTTAGCATGAAAATCACATGGAGTTTTGGCTGGTAACCTGCTTTTATAAGCCAGACTTTTTTTGTGCTAAGCAAATTTTTGTGCTGAGCAGCGCCGTGAAATTGGGCCCTGGTCTTGCATAATTTGTACATGTATTACACGATGTACAGGCACTACAATGAAGGCAACAAAGTCAGTAATAAATGTAATCTGGCTCCAAACTATAACCACTCCACAATGACAGCCAGGCCTACATGCACACTGTATGTGCAGCATATAACCACAAGTATCAAATCCTATAAGACCTACTGCATACACATCATAAGTATTGACGGACTCCACACACACTGTCGAGCCCATGGGCAAGAATTTGCCAGGGCTTTGTTGGTGGGTTTGCGTGTGTTGGCCACCCCTTGTGAGAGGAATCAGAAATAACCTGGCCCCTGCCATAAAGTCAATAATATCAGTGGCTGTGTGTGTGTGTGTGTAAAACCACACAGAAGCTTGCAAACAGGTAAAATGCATGATGTTGACATGGCTACATGAAAAACAGGGTTTTTGCTCACACATGTACAGGTACATGTGTACCGGTACATCTATACATTACATACATGTAGATGCTATGTACAATACATACCCTCAAATCTACATGTACATGTACTTGTACAAGTAAACATTCATGTACGTGTACATGTACTGTACGTGTACATTGTACATGTACTTGTGCCATAGGCCTCCATGCTTGTACACAGTATAGCAGTAAACAGGTACACGTATGATACATGCACCACAATCAGGTAGACAAAAGTTACACCATACAAAATTATATGTACAGTTTGAAAAGCAAAATGGCGAAGTACTGTGTTCCTGACATATAAAACTACATAATGCCAAGCAATTTCAGTTTAAACACAAATTTAACAGACCGGCAGTTGAAATGAGCTGCAGTATTATGAACACAATTGGAATATGAATTGAGTAGAGTGCTGTGGCCTCGTGGTCTGGAACATTGAATTGGAGGTCTGCGGGTAATTCTGCAGGTTGTGGGTTCGAGTCCAGCCTGGGGTTATGGTGCGTGTGTCCCCAGGGAGCCGAGATGGTATTTGGAATGTTTCATTGGCCCAATGAGCAGGGTAATAATAATGTAGCGCCTTGAGCACCTACATGTACATGTATACTGGTGGGTTCGTTCGAATTACAAATACGTAATTTTACACATCTCCACAACAGTACGCCAGGCAGTCTACATGAAGTCAATCCATAGCATTTTAAGCAAATGCATGCCTGTGTTTTACAGATTCAAGGTGCATAATGAAGTTGGTTTCCCTTTTTTTTAAAAGGGAATATACAACATTTGCAAACACCAAAGACCAAATTATCATGAAATACCTTAGTGTTAGTGAATGACAGTCTAAAGCATCCTGTAAAATCATGGCACCTGGTGTGCTGTCATTTTCAAGAAAAGAGTTTTTTTTGTATCAATTTCCAATGCTGATCGGCCGACCAGCGTTGGAAAAAAATGGCTTTTTTCAATAACTGCACCCAATTTATCATATTTAGTTAGTCCTCATTTTGTTTGCAATTGATTAGACACCTGTGAAAGCGTACAAGCCAGCTAGACTGATTCCCTGACCTTACAATTCCCAAATGTTTATAAATTGCTCCGTTTCATCTTAAGTTGGGCCAGGGAACCAGACTACAAGAACACGATTGTTTTTCTTGGTTTTTCCAGCATCTACGAACCCAAAACAATTATTGCTATAAACTACTTACCCCCCAAATCCATCCATTTCTGAAAATTACAGCAAAATCAAATGTTGCATGTATTCCCCTTTCAATTCCAAACTGATTACACCATTTCTACCTATACTTTTGTATTGTACCGGGTTGGCATAAATTAGTGACTTGCCGAAATGCACCGTAATGGTGTGACTTGCTGAAATGCACTGTAATGGTGTGATACCCTGATAGATAGGCAAAGGGGCCGGCAGACAGTAAATTTCTAGCTTCAGGAGGTGGTCTCCATGGGGAGGAAACCTCTACCTCCCCCCACGCTGACACGTCGCATTAACTCTGCCCACTGGACCTTTTCCCCTGGCCTCAACTTTGACAGACAAGTCATGAGTACCAAGTCCATCAAAATCCACCTACCCGGTATGGCAGTGGTGGATTTCGGCAGATTTGGTCCTGAACCAATATGTGAAGCAGAGTCAGTGATGGATTTTGGCAGACTTGGTACGGTTCTTAGTAATACTCAGTAGGGCGTTAGTTAACAAAAGATTACATGCGAACCACTTCAATGGGTGAAAAATACACTGCAATTTGATCCTGTGACCTTTAATAATAAAGGTCACAAAATGTGATTTTAACCCAGATGAAAGAGCACAGTGCAAATAGAAAAGGCACATACCCACATAAAAGTACAAAAGAAGTGGGCAAGATAATATTTACTGTACTGCAGAACTCCAGCGTCCAATTTCATGGTTCTGCTAACCATGGGATTCTGTGGTTATGCTAGCCATTTTATGCTTACAGCTCAAGCTAAGAAATTCTATGCTAAACCTGCCAGCACAGAATACATACTGGTAGTTAAGCGATCTAAGCATGCTTAAATTTACAAGCTAAGTATTCCTTGCCACCGGTAAAAAGCTAGTGCAGTATTTCCTGCTACAGTTAGTAGGAACATTTGGCAGAGTTACAAACACAAACAGAAACAGTCTGCGCTAACCCTGTGCTTACTGGAAATTTTCTGCTAGCGCTGTAAGCACAGAATGGTGATCGTAAGCACGGAATTCTGGGGTTAGCAGCGCCATAAAATTGGGCTCAGGTACCCATAACCAACTTAACAAATTACTTCATAGTAACTTTTCAGGCATTGAAAAATAAAAAATTTGAATGCCATTTGTGGAGAATTTTCAAAATCAAACCAGGCGACATGGAAAACCCCAAACAGATTTCACATTTATGTATGCATTTTAACGCGCAACAGCTATCAAGCCCTACAGCTACCGGTATAACTATTAAGCTCTTAGACAAATCTCTGGAAATTTAAATTTTTGGGTTGAGTTACTTTACGGGTACTTGTGTTTACTTCAATTGACCTATCGCCGTTTGCGAGTCAGCCACGCGCCCTTAGACAACCCTATGGAATTTTGTATGTTAAATGTTGTCTCAGATTTTGCGCGTTCCGCGTCCATTTGTATATCATGTAATTGGACAATAAATTTCACAAGCTGCGTTGACGCGATTCTACCGCGATAGGTTAATAGGGCGTCCGGTTCCCGCTAATCCTGTAAATGCACACCACTATGAATAGTCACCCTATTCACCCACTTACTATAGTTAACCTATTCACCCACTTATGTATTCATGTTAAGACGTCAAACTTAGTGTCATTGAACTAATGCCTCATTTTGGATACCTAGAAGTATGTTTGTGGTTTGACTGTACAGTCACCCCTTCTTTTTAACCTTCAGAGATGTTTATTATTCAGTATGATTCATAAAACCTGAAGCTTTGCGTCCGTCACTATCGGTCACTTCAAGCATCACAGGTCTTAGCATGTGATTCATCAATACTTGCTTTCATACTACTGTACCTGTACATACGCATGGGAATGCAGTTCTGCAATGATAACCCTCAGAAATCGGAGAACTTGACTATTTCTATTTGGTCAACTGCATTAGTCATAAGAAAGTGTGAGTTCGGTAAATGATTTTTTTCTTAATAAATATGTCGAGTCAAGAAAGTAGAACCTATTGCCCTAACTTTCCAAAGGTGCCAAAAACCCAACACCAAGAGTGCATACATGTACCAATTATACACAATACATAATTTGCTAATGTTCCTAAATAATTCACCACTGGATATGTGCCAGAATGATTGCGAAGGTTGGCAAACATTTGCACCAGCACAATTCCAGTGTTATGAACAGTCCTGGTTATGAAAGGAAGTATCCATGACAGAGCCAATGGATCATGATATCTAAGTAACGATTCCGAGAAATGATCCAAAACTCCAAATCTGTAATCTCCTTGACCACTGCTAGATGATGACATTTTCAGGTTTATTCATTGACCTCTTGAAAGCTTTGTCACAGACATTACATAACAACTGCATAACGCTGGAATTGCCCATCACTGGCATACTGACTGGATTTTTGCAGTGTTTTAGTGGATTCAGGACTAGATGGCTGAGCCACTATTTCTGTACACGAGGCTTGTCATCTGAATTTGAGCTACACATATTGTTTACTGCATAGTGGTGGATTTTGGAGGATACACAAATCTTCATGACCAAACCTCCTTTGGAAAGTAAGGTTACAAGGTTCACGTGGATTTATACATGTATCTATTCATTTATGGAACCTGCATACATATCTCCAGTGTCAGAGTAGACATGGCAGTGACGCACCAAATGTATACACTTGACGCTATTTAGCAACATTTTTGACCCACCTTTTTACAGATCATACGTGTAATGCACCTACTGAGGAAATATGATGCTCCCAATTAATTGTTTGACTCTCAATGTCCTGGCTTGACACACTCTAAATTCTTCTTTTTAACACACACACAAACATAGGGGTGTGCATCGCTGATGTCAGGAACTGGTTCCAGATTATGGGATCGGGTACCCATAACCACACTGCCCATAACAAACTTTACAAATTACTTAGTAACTTTTCAGAAACTAAAAAGGAAAGGTTTTGAATGCCGTTTGTGGGGAGTTTTCAAAATGAAAACCACGCTACATGGAAATCCAAAACAGATTTCACGTTTATGTGTATTTTAACATGCAGCAGATAACGCTCGCAAAAGTTGTAGTTGAAACCATAAAGCTATAAAGCCCTTCAGACAACTTCCGGGATTTAAAGTTTTGGGTTGGGTTTCTTTTACCGGTACCCAGGTACCCTTGTTTTACTTCACTGTTAATGTACACCACTATACAAAAATCGAGTGCAAAATAGTTGCCGTGCACATGAATATCGATTATGATAATTTAGAGACTGGTTCCCACTTGCAAATACAAGTGCAATCTGAACGGCACTCAAGAGATCAGGAACCAGGGTATTCATGAACTGGTTCCCGCCTGTCATGACCTGACCCATCATGAAGGAACCGCGTTGGAAACCAGTGTAGATATGATCGATTTCGCGGCACTCGATCTTGAAAGACGCTGTCCGTGATCAGAATATGCACTTGTTAAAGGTACATTTGTACAGTCCATCGTTTGCAGTTTTCCAAAGAGTAACTGACGTAATTATTGTTGAAAAGCATACATGGTTTAAAGATAGTACATTGTAATAGGACTAAACTCCCTGTGAAATTATTCTTTCTGGCAAGTTGCAACTACAGCTGTAACGCAATAAGGTGTTTCACGGTAATATGCGCTACCTTGCCCGCGGGGCAATTTTTCATGCGTTGCTGTGTACGCATCTTCAATGGAAAACTTTCTTGGCGCTTCCAAGTCATCACGCAAATATTCCAAAATGCGCCCGCATCTAGCAACGCGTGTTCTTTTTGCCCCCTTGAACAAGATGGCGCATATTACCGTGAAACACCTTATTTTCAAATACTATCGTTACGGCATTGTAAAAACACAATACGAACGTATCAGTTTTTCAATTGCCCATCCAACCAGAGCGCTTCTGTAGCTCGATTGGTACAGACATTAGCTCAATGAGCTGGGGACCCTGGTTCGAACCCCTGCCGCGCTGCTCCATTACTTTTTTCTTATTTTTTTTTTTATTTTTTTTTGAATAGATTTCTTCAGTTGCAGATTTTTAATCAAATTGTCCGTTTTATTTAAGTAGATTTCATTTGCTTCTTTGAAATCAGTGGTTTTGGAGGATTTTTTTTAAAAAAGGAAAATAAAGTCCGAGAACCATTTGGTTGACAGTCTGGTTCCAACAGCCAAAGATTGTGACGTTGAATACTACATGTATTATGTCCGGGAACCAGACAGTTCCGTAACGATAGCAGTCTGTTGAAAGTCGCGTAACGGCTACCGTAACACTAACAATAGCCATGGTACTGTTATTGTGTTAACCAATTGAACTACCAAAGCGCTCTATAGAAGGGGAGTTATAAATTCTTCACAAATGGTGTTTTCATGGTTTTGCAATGCCGTAGCATGATAGCAAAAATCATGTTACGGCTCCCGTAACGATAGCCACTACGAATATAAATTAATATACTGAAATCAATGAAACTGGGTCAACATGTTCAACTTCCAACATTGTCCGAGTCAACTGTCGTGCATGTAAAAATAAGTCATTAAGTGAATGCCAATTGCCAGAACTTGAACATGTTGAAGTCAAACTTGATAATTACAAACAAGAACCAGTGAAACAGTCAAATAATCCTCCCAACTAAATACATGATATGGCCCACTGGTAGCCCACTGCCCCAACTTTGAAGTTCTTGTAGCATTGTGTAGTAAAGTGTCTACGCACTCACACACTCAATAACCCAACCTACACAGTCCATCCATAACGTTAGGCCTAGCAATTACCAATGCTTAACTCAATGCAATGAAGTGTAAACACGAAAAGAAAGGACAAAGACCTGTGCCAGTCGCCGACAAAGAACTGTTCACTTTTCCCTTACTCAATCGTCTTGATCTTCGCAGAGTAGGTCCACTGGAATTCCTACTCGGTGATGACATGGTTTTTATTTCGATTTCGGGTGCCTTTAAGGTAAAAAATGCGGTTGGAATTTATCGAAACATTGGAAAAACACACTGTCTATGCGGTCGATGAGATGTGAGTGAAGCCGCAGTGCATGATGGGGGAAAATGGCAGCCAGTTTCGAACAACCAATCACTCCACGCAATAATATCACGCGGACTTCAAATGAGATGGGCGAACCAATCATGATCTACGTTGTACGCTGGCGCAGAAGAGCTTTGAAGATGGCCGCCAGATTCGGAATTTTATTTCCTCTGCAGTGACACAAATAATTAGATAGTTCGTTTAACGATCACGATTTATAGTGGTGAATTAATCCACCATGAATAGGCTTCTATCTCATGCGGTCGGCCATCTCTCTGGGAAATTTAGAACAGCAACCGACGCCGAGAAAAGGCGATTCATGATGGTATATCATCCGATTCATACTGCCATATATATCGCCATCTTGAAGTTGAACATGACATTGCATGCGTGACAATGTTGACAATGTCAATGGTTGAACTAATTTGCATTTCAGCCTACGGGGAAATGTATGACATATATGACCAAATGTCGGCGGGGAAATCTTTGTTTCATCCAAACATGATTCAAAGAACGAATCGTGGACTGTTTTATGCATTTTCACTTAATCTCATTTTATTTCCCTGCTTCATTGTCTTGAACATGCTGAATGTGGGCCCAGTCTTTGACTTGACTTTGTCAAAATTGCACCGGTTGGTGGTTGAAGGACAAACACAAAGTGTTAACTCATGCATGTCTGTGTACTCTGGCATTTGTATCAAATTAACATAATCTGGCCCACTAAACATGAACAAGGAACCTAACATGTCATTGTTATAAACTTTTTAAGAAATGTAATTGGTAGAGTACTATTTTGGAAAGAATGTTGCAACCTGACACCACTTTTTCTTCATTATTATCATCTCAATAAAGGTCAGTCATTGGAAAAATGTTGAAAAGACATGAATCTGGGACTGAGAAACATTTCCAGTTTTGTTAGGAAATACTCAGAAAATTTTCTTGACTCTCTGTAGACTTTGTACACAACCTCTGAAGTGGCATTTGGACATTCTTTCCACTATTTTTAGTAGGCCTAGTGTATGTAGTATGAAAGGAAATGACACTTTTCTGTTTTTAATTATTTTCAACCAGATATCTCTTTTAGGGGTAAATTGCCAACTATGAGACAAATTTGAAGTGGTGTTTTTACCAACGTTTTGCATCGACTGACCTCCATTTCAGTCTGTTTATTCTGGTTTTAATATCACTGAAACCTTTGCAGTAATGAAAAAATGTAAAATTTAAATATACTTATGTGTGTTCCCAAAGTATAAATTGATGAATAGTTGAACATTTCAAATTTTGCTTGAGCTTAAATTTCATGTAAATTAAAATTTCAGTTTCCACAGATTAACATCACCAAGTAAACATTTTTTTTTTAAAGCAAGGTGCTTAAAAATAATCTGGGTAAAAATATTCTGGTGATGAAGCACTAAAGCATTAGATTCATTGCAATTTCAAAAATGTTTTTTTTTTACATTTAAAAATTTTCAAGTTCCACCAAAAAAAAGAGGGTTTTTTTTATTTGCAATTTTCCTGGCAAATATGAAAAGTTATTCACTTTAGAATGAGACATTGAACAAACAAAAACCACTGATATTTAGTTGTTGAATTATTTCTTCGCAAAATTCCAATTATTGGCTGCAAGACAATAATTTGGCTCTCGCAGGGCGGGTTTGGTACAAGTTAAAACATACCAGAAACTAATAATCAAACAAACAAACTCTTTTCACAAAATAAGAACCTTTCTCTTTGTCTTAAAAACAAAAGCTCACATAACACTTGCACTTGCATGTTTAAACAAGGTGCCAAAATGACAACCTAAAATCCATAATTTTAGCCTAAAAAAATTACATTTTTTTTACCCAAAATATACACTTAACTATATTCCATCTAACTGCTGAATCACTCGAATGAAAGGTCTTATTGTCCCCTTTAGTTTGATACCACATTTGAGGTTGCGATGCTTCTAGTTATGAAAATGCCACAAATTTTCCATTTTTTTGCCAAGTCCACTTTCTCATGGAATTGCCCTCAAGAGGAAATTAATCACTCGGCAATGTTTTTTTCTTCTGATTTTTTTCTCAGGTTTTTCGTGATTGTGACACCGGCAGCAACGGGTATCTGAGCAGAGAGGATCTGAAAATGGCTGTAGTGACACTGTTTGGTTACAAACCATCCAAAGTAAATGTGGTTTTGCTTGATTTAACCCTCCCCAACCGAATCTCCAAGCCACTTCTTTACACACCTATCCGCATACTGTCACCATGTCTGTTTTTTTCCCCATGAACTCACTTTGTATCAACTCAAGTGCTACATGTACAGTGGAATGCTGCTATACCGAACACTGCTATACCGAACATTCGGCTATACCGAACATCATCCTTGGCTCCTGGTTTTAATGCACAAAACGTACCGAACATTGTTGTTGAAAAAAGTCAACAGATTAACAAAAAAAATCTACCGATTGTACACGTATTAAACACTATTTGGGCCTTTTTTAATTCCCGAACATCAAACAACCCACAGTTACATCGTGTTTGGAATGTTGAACAGCGATAGATGGCTATTATTTCCCCAAGGAATAGAAGAGAAAACCACCTGTTGCTAAAGTATCGTGACGACTCCTCGTGCGGCCGCGGGATGTGGACAATTCCACTTCACTATTGGTCAAAAGAGGGTACCGGCAGTTCAAAATCGCTATACTGAACGATCGTTATTACGAACACTTTCTGTGGATCCAACGATGTTCGTTATAGCAGCGTTCCACTGTGTAAGTCAAAAGTCAGATCACAATTCATGTCATGCGTAATGAGATTAACAGGGATGTTAAACAGGCCTGCACCCGATTTCATGAAACTCATCGTAACTTACGACGCATCGCAGCCCCGTGACGCGTTATAGAAGAAATTAATCACTCGGCAATTTTTTTTCCTTCTAATTTTTAAAAATTATTTGAAATTGGACAGCCTGTATAATTATTTTTTTTTATAATTTTAATTTGTTTTCATGTAGTATGAGGCTGATCAGATGATGAAGGGATGCGAAGGCAGTGAAGGTGAGCAGATCTATCTATACTAATATAAAAAAGCAAGCCCCGTCTCTCTGTCTGTCCAGCTATGCATTTCACTGTGTGATCCTCTAGTACCTAGAGAGTTCAAACTTCTCAAACTGATACAAATGCAGGACGGGTGACAGGTGACATATATTTGTCCCTATTTAACCATCCACTAATTAAATCGTTGGATACTTTCACTTTATGTCCTACAGCATATATGCAGCAGCATGGCATAGCAGCTAGTGCCTCTGTTAGGCCCATTGCATCAGTGCAGTGAAACGCTGTAAGGCGAGGGGGTGGGTACAGTACACCAGGTTATCAACAGACCAGACGTTACACATTCGACGATTGACGTTGAAATTTCGTCTCTTTTATTTATTGCAACCAGATGTTATATCTGTCCCTTTTTCCAGCCTTGCATGCTGTTCGTCTCTCGTTCTACTCCATATACGTGTATATGTTGGGCGTGATTGGTGGATCTGCACAATCGGTCGATCGCCCTGCGCTACCGGTCGATCGTGCCGCCATTGGTCGATCGCGCCGCCATCAGTCGATCCCCTTTTCTTATATCATGGCTCTCTAAGATTGTTTTGAAAAAGGCAATTAGTCTGAGATTTCCTACAGGACCCACCGATCGCGCAAACTTGTGCATTTCTGCGCGATCGAGTGATATCGCAGATGCACCGATCGCGCTCAACGTATGCGTTGTATAAATTGTTGTCTGACCCTGTGACCCCTGCCTGTCGGCCCAGTTAAAAAGGAACATTTACATCTTCGTTCTCCGAACTGACTGGTCATGTTAATAAGCGCCCTCTATTGACTATCATAAAACATAGGCCCCCTAAAAAATACTGCACATCACAGCATACATTTGTAAGCATGATATTTTTGAACTATGGAGTAATTTGTAGTTTTTGTAGGGCTGAAATAATCAGCTGGACCGCTGGACTGAGTCTGATGATTTATATCTATGACTGAACTAGACTGGTGGTCAAGAGATTTTCCACTCGAATGGTCTTTATATATTTTACCACACAAACGCTTTATTACAAGTTCCATTTTACCAAGTCAGATGTTTATCCTGGTAAGTTAATGTGCATCTGTACTCGGGCAGGGACGGATACCCAAGTACCTGATGCCTGACTTTAAATGGCTACCAGTTTCTAGTTTTTGATTTTATCACGTGAAACTCATTTTACATACTGACCCACCTTTTTTGAACGGGCAAGTCAGTTTATTTATCAGGTGTTTTTGCATCCAAGGAATAATTTGTTTTAAGTGCAGTTCCGACTTTCCAGTGATCAGATTGCTGCCGTCTGACTGGTGGCCTAACCTCAGAGTTGCATTTGGTTGCTCAATACAGTTTAAAATTATAGTGAACACTTGTTCCCAATTTCAGCCAATGAAAAACTAATCGATGCACTTGTTTGATGGTCCTGTGCATGTAATATCTAAGTTGTCTAAGTAGATTTTCACATGAGATTTCATCCCTATTCAATGTTTGTTTTTTCTTTCTTGATCAAACTGCATAGGCATAACTGAGACCCAATTCCTGAGCCTGATGAGCTCCAAGCTGGCTGCACAGGACAGAGACGAGGAGATCAGGCAAATCTTCATGACCTTTGACACGCACTGTGAGTCGTCGCCCTCCTGTCTCCCTAGTAGTTTAACTGGTTGCATCTGAATCAAGCGTTCAATAGGCCGATCCATTAAGCCCTGCCCAATGACACTTTGACCAATCACAGCCGTGATAAATGTCTGATATGCGTGCACAAAAGTCTGACATGTGTGCACGCGTGTATGATGCGCGCAGCTGGAACATGCAGTGTGGCATTGGAGAAGCGCGCATGCTGTTTCCCCATGTACGCATTGGGCGGGGCTTAATGGATCTGTCTATTTGTGACATTCGCATGTAAGGAGCCAGTGATTTATTGTGTCTGCACATGATAAGTACAGCTGACAACAGCTGGTTTTCAGCTGATGTCAGTCTTTCAAAGAAAAACAATATTAGCAGCCGATTTCACGAAATTTTACGCAATGGCATAACTCCACTTGCGTCAAAACTTATTGCCTAAGTTGCACAACATTTCATGCTGTGCAACATTTTAGTTATGACACATTTCACAAATAATTCATAGAGAAAGTCATACCAAATGGATTTCTTGAATCGCGTCTAGTTCACGCCGACGCAAATTTCATGCACTAGCCTATATTAGTGAACCACATGTGACCGTGTTTCAACCAACCACGATAAAGAACCAGCAAGAGGTGTGTTATAAACAGGTTTATGGCTTCTGACTAGCACCCCTTGAACAAAGACATTGCCAAATTTGGGAACCGCTAACAAGGGGCTGGATAGCTCAGTTGGTAGATACTTTGCCAAGATTGGTCTACATGTATACTTACTTGAAACCTGAAGTGAAGTAATTTCACATATTATACATGCCAAAATAAACTGACCTAAAAATATAGTTTTAGCTTATTCTTCATTAGAAGAAGAATGTTGGTTTTTTTTAAGGGCATTATTAAAGAGGATATGCAGTATCGGGTAAGTTTTCTTGTTTTTCTGGAAAGGGTTCACAATTCCTGTTGTAAGTTTTAAGTTAATGCTGTTGAATGACTGCCGTTAGTGCTCTAATTGTGATGTTTTATCATCCCCTGCAGGTCGTGGTTTCGTCACTGTAGATGATCTCCATAGGGCATTTAGTGAAGTGGCACCCCGTATCCCAAGACATAGGGTCGACACACTGTTTAAGTAAGGATACCATCCATTAAAGACATATAGGATCATTTGCTTTTCATGCATCTTGTTGGTTTCCAATAATAACACCACTCAAACTCCAAAGAAGAATGTTAAAAAAATAACCTGTTGTAGTTTTAGCTCAGTGTATATTACATTTTTCGAGAAAACGGAAAAACCATGCACAACCTTTTGATTACAAAACACGAATTTCATCTTTAGCTCTGTGTATTTCCAAAAAATCAGTAAATTGACTGATCGTTGGAAATCACCTACCTTTCTAGATTGCTTCTTGATTTCTTGATAATTTGGTAGGCTACTTTTGGATAAATGCAAATGATCCCATATGCCTTTAATATTTAGGATCACAACTGACATTTCATTTGCCTTTTTAGTATCCCAGTAATTATAGTTGAGTTTTCTGTTACTGATTTCACCAGAAAATGAGGCCAAGAGATTCAAATAAAGTGCATGAATGTAGATTGGCAACTTGTTGGACCACTCAGTGGTCTGATGGTAAGACCTGTGAGATATTGTGTAGAAATAAAAATACTTGGTAACAGACGTACGTTACTTGTGATAAGCTTTATGTGTAAAATATTATTGGACTGGTTTATTATTTTATTTGACTCTCTATCTTATATTGCACGATTCCACTGTCTTCTGAGAACCTCATACATTATTGAAAGTTTTGGTTTAATTTTAAATTGTATATTGGGTTTTGCCCTTCACCGACAAATTTTAATTTTTTTTTGTATAAACACTGTATACTCAGTGTTGTCCCGAGTAATTGTGAGAAAAAGTCACTATATACTTGGGTGGGACTCAAACACCCCTCCCCCCCCCCAAAAAAAAACCCACACCCCAAAAAAACGATGAAGAGCAAAACCCAATACTGAATTTACATAACCCAGATGCCAATTCCATCTATTCTTAAAAATGGTTTAATTGTGAAAACTATTTCTGTACCCTCTATAAGAAAAACACACATTGAAATATATGCAATGAGAATCTTACAGACGCCATGAATATTTAATGTCAAGTCGACCTCCTTCAGGGATGAGTGAGTTTATTTTGCAGGGTGTTAAAACCTCAGGAGTTCATTGTTGCAACTTGTGTGCTTCTTTGCTATGTGCAGGGAGGTTGATAGAGATGGAGACGGGCGTGTCAGCTACAGAGATTTTGAATTCATGATGAAGTACAGTCTGGACGATGGCTTCTGAAGACGAGTTGACGTCATAGTCTGATTGACAGAGGGTGAGGTTAGGGAAGAGTGAAACAAACGGTAGCTCGAGGTTTTACCATGAGGTACCCCGTAAAACCCTGTAAACCTCATAAAACCTTGAGGGAAACCTCGAGTTACTGCCTGTCTAATTTTGTGTTGTCACCTCGGGCTGGCTCCAGCTTTTGAAATTGTTTTTAAGGATTTTTTTTAAAAGAAATACTTGCTCAAGACGAGTTGACATCATAGTCTGACTGACTATGAGTGTGAGGTTAGGGAAGAATGCAATATTAAACAAATGGTAGCTTGAGGTTTTACCATGAGGTACCCCATAAAACCCTGTAAACCTCATAAAACCTTGAGGGAAACCTTTACCGTGAGGTACCCCGTAAAACCCTGTAAACCTCATAAAACCTTGAGGGAAACCTTAACCGTGAGGTACCCCGTAAAACCCTGTAAACCTCATAAAACCTTGAGGGAAACCTTTGCCGTGAGGTACCCCGTAAAACCCTGTAAACCTCATAAAACCTTGAGGGAAACCTTTACCGTGAGGTACCCCGTAAAACCCTGTAAACCTCATAAAACCTTGAGGGAAACCTTTACTGTGAGGTACCCCGTAAAACCCTGTAAACCTCATAAAACCTTGAGGGAAACCTTTACCGTGAGGTACCCCGTAAAACCCTGTAAACCTCATAAAACCTTGAGGGAAACCTTTACCGTGAGGTACCCCGTAAAACCCTGTAAACCTCATAAAACCTTGAGGGAAACCTTTACCATGAGGTACCCCGTAAAACCCTGTAAACCTCATAAAACCTTGAGGGAAACCTTTACCGTGAGGTACCCCGTAAAACCCTGTAAACCTCATAAAACCTTGAGTGAAACCTTTACCGTGAGGTACCCCGTAAAACCCTGTAAACCTCATAAAACCTTGAGAGAAACCTCAAGTTGCTGCCTGTCTAATTTTGCGTTGTCACCTCGGTCTGGTTTCAGCTTTTGAAATTGTTTTTAAGGAATTTTTAAAAAGAAATACTTGCTTAATTATGTCACCAGTTGAGGGTCTGAATAAAAATTCCTGCCTGGTGACTGCTGCCCTCTGTTGGCCACATTGGGTTAAGACTGTAGAAGTGCTTGGACTGGACTGCATTTATGAAAGCATGCATTCCATTAGATGCAGCACGAGACTAGAGCTGGCCCAATTCATGTTGAACTATTCATAAGATGAAATTGGCATTGGGGTGATATAAATCAAATTAGGTTTTGCCCTTCACCGATGTATAAACACTGTATACTCAGTGTGTTACTGCCCGAGTGAAAGTTGAAAAAAAAATTACTCGGGCATGGGACTCGAACCCATGACCTCCGGCTTTCTAGTGCAGACGCTTGTGGGGTCGGTTAGCTGGTACGAATCTGATGTACATCATTAAACTATTCATTAAACATTCCACCTTATGAATCGGTACCCGCTGCTTCATGTACATCAGATTTGAACCAGCAAATCGATCAGTGTTTATACATTGGTGAAAGTGAAGGGTAAAACCTAAATTGATTTATGTTGAATTGCCTTGTACTGTCTACATCAGAAACTCTACCTCCCGTAGCATTTTCGATTCTCCAACATTGTCCAAATTACAAAATTGCAGTGATCTGTACGCAGTAAGCACAGCAAAAGTCACATTTACCTGGAGGAAACAGTTGCTTAAATCATTGACTTTAACAATAGAAATCTCCAGCGCACGCAACCGTTAGCACATCCACGCTATTTCATGAAATAGCGCTTAAAGTTAGCACAATTTTCTACCATAGTTAGCACAACTTTTCTGCTAACTGTTAAACAGCGCCATGAAATTGACCCCGGGTCACAAGTAACGGATGATAAAGACATGACTGGCCGGTCTTAAACACTTTTCCTGTGTCACATGAAATTTTGACCCCTATGAAATCCAGTGCCTTTTACCATTTTATTGGTTGAACATTTACAATCCTCACGTAGGGATGTGCAATACTACCTGTGAGTCAGAATTTCATAGTCCTAAATTCACAACGCACTCACCACAGCTGCATTTGCGCGTCATTGCGCAGTACATGTGACGCGCACGCCAATCTCCATAAAAGGAGTTGTTTACGTCTTACTCTCGAGCTGGACGCTCCATTATATAGCTGGAGGGGTGTTTCAAAAAAACAGAAAGTAAAATGTTGAATAAAATCGTTGGAAAATTTAAATTGGACAGAAAAGTTTAAATTTTTTGACTGAGAAGGTGTTTATGAATGGGAAACAATATGTGGCTGGTCGGTATTAAACACTATGTTTAAGACTGGTTGGAGTCTGGAATGCTGTTCGCCGAGGGTAATTATCAGCATACAGACTCCAACCAGTCTAAAACATGGTGTTTAACACCACCCAAGCACACATTTATTCCCTTAATAATTGACTTTTTTCTTTAGAGTTGCACCAAGAAGATGAGGTTGAAGGCAACACAGACTTAACAATTTCCACTGAAGCTGGCAAAAGACGAGTGACATTCATGTCAGTGTGTGGGACCATTGTGATTTGGCAACAGTCCAACTCTTCGCTAATTGTGGTAAGTGATATTTCTCAAAAATTTGGGGTCCACATTTTTCCTGTCCCTATTACATCTGTGGTTTTATAATGCAGTCGTCCTCCAAGCGTGATTATGAATGGCAAACTACCTACCCAACAAATACAAATTGACCCATCCGCAACCCCCCCCCCCCAATCCACATCTTGCCCCCCCCCCCAATCCACGGCTTACCCCCCTTCCTCAATCTACATCTTTCCCCCACCCCCTTCCCCCCTCCCTGGCCCAACTATCCAGGAATTCTGTGCTGACGATGTGTCTATAGGTACATGTATCACAACCACTGAAAATACTTAATTTCAAGTTTCCCATTGTACAAAACTTCCTGTCTTTTTAGCTACCTGTTACAAAAAGCCTTTCAACAAGCGCTGTATATTTAGTCAAACTTTCTTCTGTAAACTTCTTTTATTATTTCTTGTACAATTGTATCCAAAACCTTGACATTACGTGACACACAACATAAAGAAAGAAACTACAATGTATCGCCAATGCTTGCACAATAAACTACTGATCTATAGGCATTTCAGTAACTTTCTTTAGCAGCTTTTTTTTTTTTTTTTTTTTAAATATGTCTCTTCATTCAAAACAAAGTTAGGAATAATTTACTTTAAACTATATGCTCATAAACATCTTATACATTTACATAAAAGATTTCCGAAGTCAACATAGCTTTTAAAATACTCATTTTCCCCCACAAAACAACATGTGGCAATCCTTTGTAAAATTTGTAATTGTTTAAACTACGTTGTTGGTCGCATAAAATAAGTTACTCTGGGTTCCAAAATATGTATGTTACCTTCGCATGACATGACACGTTGACATGGGGGGAAAAAAATCACAATTTTTTACACTGTAGTGTACAGTGCTAACCACTGAGAACAACGTAACAGGTCACATTTTTAAAAAATTTCCCCATTTCCCCATTTCCATTAATTTCTATCTTCAGTAATACATGGGATGATGTTTAAACCCTCCTAGTGGGAAGTCAACATTGAGAGCAATATGTAAAATCCTTAAAAACCCTGCAGGCCAGTTTCAACTGAAAGGATATGAAGTGTAAAGCCGTCCTCAGGTCAACTTGCGATTTTGCTTGCGCCGCGACGGAACTGTCGGCATCAAGCAGAAATGTCATGCTTGGGTCACAAATTTGAGAAATCGTGTGATTATTGTTGAACAAGCGGCATCTTGGACACAACCATGCTTGTGTCACCCACAATGCAACGGCGATTCACAATAAAATAAGATGATCCGGTTTGCACGCACGACGTCGTAACTTCGCACAGATCAAATGCGATCAATTCATGCCTATCACGAACACATTCTGTCGTGGTGCAGAAGTTGGACATTTTTGGACTCTTTTTTTTTTGGCGCCGACTGATGTCGATTGTCTTTACATAGCCTCAGTTACACTAAGGTCGCAAAAAAATCAGTGACTGATATGTTTTCGACGGTCTTAGCTCCGACACAGCTTGATCCTGAAAAATCAGTCACCGACTCTTTTGTTTTTGTTTTTTGGCACCGACTGATACCGATTGTCTTTATATAGCCTCAGTTACACTAAGGTCGCAAAAAATCAGTGACTGATATGTTCTCGACGGTCTTAGCTCCAACACAGCTTGATCCTGAATAGTCAGTCACCGACTGTTTTGTGTCGTCGCAAGGTCGACCTGAGGGCTGCTTTAAGTCACTGCAAAAAAAATAAATAACGCAGTGACGCTACTTGCCCTGAGCTTAACAAAAGAATTGTGCAGGGATTTGAAGTGTTATCCATACTCCACAGAAGTATTACTCGTGGGTGCTAACTCAATGGGAAAAGTGGATTTGCAAAACTTAGAGGGTTTTGGAGTGCGGAAGACTAGGAGGGTCTCATTTAAAAAAAAACCCAACACAGTAGATCGATATATTACACCCCCTGTCCAATGCACACGTGAACAATATCAGTCGATTATAGGCACGTGCAGGCATGTCAGACTTTTGTGCACGTACGTATTGTCTGACATCAATCATGGCTTTGATTGGTTAAGACACCACGGGGCAGGTCCTAATGGATTGGAGTGTGGCAGCTCCAACCATGCCTACCTTTCGGGTAGTCCAGTATATATGTATGTTTTCTCACAAAATACAACATAAGTCCCAATATTATTCTCCAGGGTAAATGTTTTTGTTAGGAACGCCAAAAAAAAAAGACTATCCTATACTCTATTGGATCCGCAAACACTCTATTTTTTTTCTGGTCTTATTCATCTATCTGAGAGCTACACAGTTCCATCTTCATGCAAGTGCAAATGCAGTGAATTTGACGACGCAGAAAATTTATAGCAAAATTGTCCAAGGTTGAAATGTTTATGTTGAGGGGTTTATATGTTTATTGGAATTTGTAGCGCAAATTCTTGCCATGATCATAAATTATAACTTTCTTTTTCTTTTGCACCCAATATGAATGAGGCTTAATGTACATGCATACCACACATAAACCCTAACTCCCTAGGGGGTATGCAAAATCGTATCGAAATTGGAGGATTCAGGACTGTTAGGGTTAGCAAGGACAATGATGCTACATTAAACCAAACGGTCTATTCAAAGTAATGTGGTTGTACACGTGTGCTTTGTCCTAGTGTAAGCAGTCTAAAAAATGCCATCTACTGTACATGCAGGGAGTGCGTAGTAGTGAATAAATAGATAGGAATTATGTTATTAGTTAGCCTTGGTCAAGGCATTCGTCATTTGCTATACAGTGCGAACAGCGCCCTTATTTGGTCACTAAATATGTAAATTATTTGGATCCGATCGAACGCCTTGGTCCACTCGTCGGCGAAAGCTTATATTTTTCCACGCAACGATCGACCAATAAGAAAACAACTTTTAAGGTCAGCTTAGGCTGTTAGCATAATGAGCACCACCCCGAAAACCTCACATGGACGACTGGACCAAGGCGTTAGTCTAGATCCAAATGATTTGCATAAATAAATAGTGTCCGCATGAGGTCGCTGTTCGTGTTACATTTTTACATGCACTGCAAAGCGATAAGTCAGCGCGCGGCGATCTTATGCCGCGAAATACCGTACGGACGAATAATGACCAACGCCTTGACCAGGGCTAGTTATCAGTAGGCCTATACATTGTATATTACACAGAATATTGTATGGAAGACCAGAAACCAACAAAGTACATACATTTACATGTATGTACTGCATGTACACTGTACCTTTTACCTACTTTGGCAATTTTAAAATTTGATTAATTATTTACTTTTGCTTAAATAATCCTAAATCCTCTTTTCTTCATCTTACTTAAAATTTAAATACAAAAGTGAGGTGTTCCTTGTCCTTACATATATACATGTACATGTATGTAAGTGCAAATGTATTTTTTTTTGTAAGAAGTTCTAAACACATGGCTTTTGACACAAAAGTTATGAATAGAACAATTATATTACATTGTACTTTTAGCCAGTTACGTTATAATTAAATTTTAGATTGTTTGAAGCATTTGAGTATCATGAAAGAAGTTCATCAGGCTGGTGAATTTTCAACTTTGTAAATGAATTCTCTATTAACACAGCCAGGAAACAGCGCCACCAACCGACTGGTGGTGCTTCGTTCTGAGGATGACTAGTGAAACTAGTCGAAACGTAAACGAAACTACGTAAGTAATTGGCTGTGTTAATAGAGAATTCATTTACAAAGCATTAGAGTAGCAGAAAAATGACACAATGGGATGACAAAAATGTTTCCACAATTCTTGCGTATTTGCTTGACAAAAAAGGATTCATTTCTGTTCCTAAGGATGGACTCTAGATGTTCAGGACACAAAACGTATGAAAGATATATTATATTCTATAGCTTTTCAAAACAAAAAGAGTCCGATTGTCTGAATCTGGTGTTCAGTTTTTTCTTCTTCTCAATAATTAGACTAGCTTGTACAAATGTTGTAAGTGTACCCTCAAATGAAGGTTGGCCAGCTTGTAGTGTACTCTCAGCTGAACATTTGTGATGTGATCAAGCTAAATGAGTCATTTGTCGGGAATTCTCATTTGGAAATTCAGGCCAAAATAGGGCCACTTCATCACATGACTTCATCACATCTCTTGGTGTTCCAACTTTCATAATTTTTTAACTAAAGATGGTATCAGCATGCGGTTTTCACAGCAGTAATGCCGAGATTGTGCTCTTTTTAAATCTGAAAAAAAAAATTGACCAGGGTCGACAAACGACTCATTTAGCTTGATCGCATCACATTTTGTCTTTTTTTTTTGTTAAATAAACATATTTCTAAAAGGACATGACATGTACGGCGAAGTCTACCAAATAGTAATAGTTGAGGGTTTAATTGCTGTAGCATACTAGATGGGCTATGGAGACAGATTTTGCAAATTCATCGCATGTCCCGCTTTTACCACTGTTCCTGTGCATACATTCATGTATGGAAGTTTGGAACATGCAAAAAGAAAAACGCAGGTCTATTATATGGTATTAAGGCATTAGACACTGAACAATGTTAATTGGGAGTGGAAGATGCTCATCTACCGTGCGTCATCATGGCATCGCACGCCTCAGTTCACATCTTGTGTATTTGTCTGCGGCTCCAAAACTATGTGCAGTGTACACATCATTATGGCGGAGAGAGGCAGCCTGCCCTAAGCTCAAACGTTGATGAGGAATACGTACAGACATCTTCCTGGCTCTGATGATAGCCATGCCTCGGTGTCCGATTGCCAGATTTGCAGATTCATGCAAAGTTCATCGCAGGTATGCGAGGGTTGTCTCTGGAGCTAGAGGCAGGCATTCCAAGTTAGGGCTCACGTTCATCCCATCCCAGCACCGTACATTACGTACCATGTATGTACATATATGACATTTGAACTAACGATACCTTGCCACGTGTGTAGCATCATCATCATGGCTTGTCATTTTCAGATTTCAACAGAATTTTGTTTTCTCTGAAATTGAATTGAGGTTAACCAAGATGACATGTTC